GCGGGTACACGAGAGCCACCTCGTTGAGCACTCAGACGAGTGCGATAAGCTTCCAACGAAAAATCTCGTGGAAACAAGAAACGAGCTCGAAGAGCCTTCCGTTTGGCAAGTTCATCTTCCGTTCTGGCCAGGGGTTCGAAGATGTGGAGGCGTAACGATTGAGTTACCGCGTCCTTTGCTTCCACAGCGGGATCCGCTGGGCGAAAGCCATATTCCACACAAGGGTCAATGACCGGCCGTGGATGCGCGCGCTTCAGAGCCGCCCTATGGGCAGCTTCAAGCTGCCGCCTTTGAGCCTCGTCAAGGCCATTGGTGATAACACCACATTCCTCGGCTGACGAGAAGTCATAGAACGGACATGGGGTCCGCAAGGCACGAGCAGGGCTCGTATCACGCCGCTTGCGCATCTCGCCTTCTTCGTCATCTGATGCGGGAAAGGGATTGTCAGACTCGTAATCGACCATCTCCACATCCTCAACGAGACCACTCGTCATTGATAGCGTGCGCAAAGCACGACGCTCGTGCTCATCGAGCCTAGGATGTACCTCTCCCGGTGCCGTGGAAGCACTGTCCGACATCGCACCGCGTGCGGGAGACGAAGTTGGGCTCTGCCCATGCTCGCTGTCAGAACCAGCAAGACCTAGTGACTTCGTGTCGTGGACGCAGAATTCATTGAGCAAGGAAATCGCTTTATTCCAACAAATTGAGTGGCAGTGTCTAGCGGACACGCGAGCCTCGCTGAGGCAATAATCGATTAAAACTGTAAATATTCTCAAATTTAATGGGGAAGGATGTAACGGGGTTACACGTACCCTGGTAACAGGGGTGTGTGTCACACGAGATGTGCATGGTGTGACCACACCCAAACAAGAATACGGTACGGGGTTAGGTAGCCAGTAGTTATGCATGTATTTAGATTTTACTATATATATCTAGGAAAAATCTATACAATTAAAATTAGGCGGCATTGCAGATAATAATAAATATAAATCAGTTTTGGATTTTAAATGA